GAGTGATGTGACGGTCAAAGGGTCAAAACATGAAAATGAGAGCTAGAAAGACATCGGTGAAAGCAAGACAAAGTATCGACAGATATATAAGCAAGGCTACTGAGCGAGAGCGGAGAGAGAGAGAGAGAGAGAGAGAGAGAGAGGAAAAAAATAAACTGCATTTACTGCATCAGACAGTATTTAATGTTTTGTGTTTGCTCAACATTGCTTTTCTCCACACACCAATTGATTTTGGTGCAAACTTAGCCTCGCACAAATCATTTCTTCAATAGAATGGTCTACGTTCTAGACCCTTGATCAAGTAGGCTTCCCTCATGCACCATATCTTTGGTACCAGCAAACCAAGCAAAACAAAACTGAATACCGTAACTACAAGGGTGGTTCAGCACTGGAACAGATTATCTACGGAAGTTGTGGATTCTCTATCCTTGATTAAAGTGCACATTTGACAAATACATATCTGGAATAGTTCAGTCCAGCCTAGAGCAGACAGATTGGACTAAACAGCCTCCTAGGCTATTTTCCCCTATTTTTCTATGATTCTATTATTACTTTTTAAAACCGGAGTGAGAAAAATATGGACTGAGGTCCAAGTGCAGCTTGCCAGCTGACTGGATCTAGCCCGCAGGTGGGCACCCACCAATCAATTATATCCAGCCCATGGCTGCCCCTTGTGGTGTTCTGCATGGGGGTGAGCTCCACCCACTCCTGCCAGGGGCAGCCTGTGCCACACTCCCGACCATACCCACCAAGGGCCCGGACCCCAGCCAATGCCCACAGCTTCCCAGCAAAGCTGGTCCTGTGTACTCCTCAGCTCCCCCTACTTCCAATGGCAGTTCCTCCTTCTGCTGTGCTGCTCCAGGCAGCAAGTAGTGCAAAGAAGCAATGGCAGCCACAGCGACACGTGCCAGGTACTACACGCCCAGCAAGCTGGGAGAAAGCTGCAGCCAGCGGCTCCTGCCCCAGCCTGCAGGGCTCCAGCTCCAGCTGCCCTCCATCCACTCAGCTGCCTGCAGGTGGCTGCTCATTGTGATAGGGGGGCAGAATGGGTGGAAGGTGGCTGGGAGCTTGAGCCCTGTGTGCTGGGGCAGAAGCCACCACGCTGCAGCTTCCCTCCTGCCTAGCTGGGCATCTGCTGCCCACTGCACATCCCCTGCTGCCTGGAGAAATGCAGCAGGGGCAGGAGGAAGAGAAAGAGAAGCCCCTGGAGGCAGAGGGCAGTGAGCAGTACCCATGCGGTTGTGGCAGCAGCCCCACCGGAAAGCAGGGCACACTGGTCAGGGCCTGAGCTATGCTGTCTGGCAGGTGCACAGGGCTTGGCCCCTTCTGGAGTGTCATGGGCAGCTGCAAATGGCACCAGCATCACACAGGCAAGCTTTCCTCCAGGCCCCCCCCCCCCCCCC